GCCATTTCATTTGTCTATTGGTTGTCTGCAGTGGTCAATTCGTGGGTGATGCCCCAGGTCTTCAGTGCCTCGTTGAAGTCTAGGGATGAATACTCCGACCCGCCGTCAGATCGGAAGATCTTGATCTTGCGGCCGGTTTGGACATCCGATCAGAACATCAACTTGGCGAAGTTTTCCTCTTGAGTGGCAGAGTCCGTCTTTTTTACTTGACGAATCGGACAGCTTTCATGCCTGATCCGACATCGACTTAAACGGTATAGAACCGGCATCCTCCGACTGACTCGGTCCATAGAGGACCCTTCGTTTCGGACACCCCAACACTCCCCTGGTCGGAACAATCATGTGCGCTCCTTGGGAGGTGACATCCTCCCAAGGAGCTGAAGTTATTCTTGACACAGCACTCACATTTTGTCTTTAGTTCGGGCAGTCCCTTCGGTATGCCGAGTCTCATTGCGCCGCATCAGTTCACTGCTGCGGTGAGTAAGTGTCCCACGAGTTGGTGCCAGAGTGCTGACGTTTCTTGTGCAGGCGTGGTCTTCTTGGGGATGTCCGCTGCGAAGGTACTTTGCTCAGTTGTCGCGGTAAGGTCCAAGACTTGGACCTTTCGACTTGGGTCGACTGTCGGCGTTGCAACGGTGCTTGAGCTATGCATGATACTGCAGCCGTAAGTGTCGAGTGTGACGGCAAACTGCGGGTCGCACCGCATCATGGCTGTGATCGACAGGGGAGTTGACGGCATTGCGTCAATTACTAACACTTCTAACTTGAATAGGGTTGCACCGGTGTTGGCAGTCAACCGCATGATCCCCGTTTCGATCGCGCGGGTTTTGCAGCCGTTGGCGACAATGACAGTCCGGTCACAAAGCCTCAAGTTGGTCAGACGAGAGACAACCCTAGTCATGTGGGTCGATGCCTCAGAATTAACGAGGACTCGGTCGCGGGGATCGCCGGCGTGGAAGGCGAAGGAATTTCCGACGGTGTCACCATCTTATCGGTCGCCGATTGCCGCAAACGTCCATACTTCCTTGTCGAAGGCAAGGTTATCCGAATCGTTCTTGTTCTGATTCCATTTTTAGTGTTTATGGTCCACTTCGATTATCACCCCTTCTTGGAGCGACGCTCTAGTTCACAGTGTCCCTTGCGGTTGCTCCAGTTGCATTTACCAGGCTTGGGAGTCACGGTGTTGAGGACGTGGCCATCGTTGCTTCCGCTCCTCGGTTTGGTTTGCACGCCTGAGCGTATGGCGGCTTTATACTCCGCTTCCAGGAGAACTCTAACGGTGGCTATGTTCCGACCTTATGCGGTCGCCAAGGCGTGTATTTTGTGGGTCACGGCGTGCATTTGCCATGGTAGCATTTACAGGAGTCGGTCGACCACCATCGAGTTGTGGATGGCGTCGCGTCGCCGCTTTCTTTCAGTTTGCGGAGAACGACATCGTAGCGTTCCAGGAATTGCAGTACGCTCTCTTGCTTCGTGTTTCTGTGCAGTAGTGCAAATAAAATTCCGCAAAAAATATGACGAGAATCGTCTTGGTTCGTAGATTGCTATCCACTAAGTTTTAGCCCAATCCGATAACTTTAGCACGACATTTTGTCACCGTCTGCACTTATTACCAGTCAGAGGTAGTATTGAGGTAACGCATCGAATTCTCGAGCACGTTTTGCAGGCACAACGATAGGATTATTTGGGTTGACGGCCAGAGCGAACCATGTACCGTGAAAAGAATCTGAGGATACCATTCAAAACTATAATTCACCCTCAATTTTTTAGAGTCATGATTAGGACAGAATATCTACATTTGTGATTTGACGACAAATTATTGCAACGAGGGCAAACGCCAAACGAGAATTTTGGGAAACCCTATTTCTCGGACGGCAATGGTACTGAAATTGAGTATGGTTGAATTTAAATTTTCAAAATAATGCATTCAAAAATCACATGTGTATTTAAATAAACGATGTCACAAAAACTCATTAAATTTCAGGCAATTTTAATGATGCTAAACGAAAAATCATTTCTTTCGTTTGGCTAGTTGCGTGGCAGAGACCAACAGCTCATCACGAGTAAACCAATGCAGATCCGTTGCGACTCTCCTGCGCTGCTTGTTTGGAGGCACGGTAAGCACTTCTTGTCTGGCATGATCCCTTGTCTTCACCCAGCCATCGTTCCCGACAGAGTCCGCCACACTGTTCGCCTTGACTACCTCCCAACGACGCAGCATCCGCGGAAACGACAATGGCCAGATGCCACAGGTACGCAACCCGTTCACAACAGGCAAGTTCTGTTTCTTGCCAATGTTCGTGCTTGGGAACACAACATTAAACGCCTCGCCAGCGATTTTGATGGCTTCGTCCCGTGGCAACGATGTCGTGTTCTTCGCCTGGAGTCGCTGCGTAACGCTTCGCACAATCCTTCTCTTGAAGGTACGAAACAAAGCAACATCAAGAGGCTGAAGCAAGTGCGTAGCATTCGGCGGAAGACGGACCAAACAGATTCCATACGCTTCGCAAATCGACAGGCTGTTCATCAAAACATGCGAGGAGCAGTTGTCTTGGACAAGGACGGCTGGACGGCAATCACGGTTCTTCAACTTCCATTCTCCAAAGCATTCTAACCAACTGTCAAATAGGTCAGCGTTCATAAATGCCTTCAGCATCGCTGATATCATTGCGTCTTGGACCGGGCACTGGTCAAGCACAGTTGTAGCGCAGGTTCGGCCAGGCAGTATGAATGCCGGCGGGACGGAAGTGCCATCTGCAGCAACGGCAGCAACAATTTCATGTGGTACGATTCAGAGTTGTCACCGCGCCACACG